TGAGTAGCTGAAGGGTTGCTTAGATGGAAATGGCCAGTCATTTTCTGTTCCATAAGTGCACTTAAGTCCCACAAGTTATCTTTGAGATGGACTTAACTCAGCTATGAATGTGTGAAACTTGAACAAATCCCAGAAAAACACTGAAGGAGCAGCCAATCTCCGACAGGCGGTAGGGCTGCTCACTAGGGGAGGCATGCTGAAAAGAAAAACGTTAGAGCACACTATCAAATTGCTAAATGATGTAGAATTAGAGACAGCCCGTCTTGCCCAGGTCATAATGGAAACTGCTTTTAAAGCAGACAAAATCAAACTTAAAGTACTGCTGGTGCGCAAGTTCAGTTATCACTGAATATGTATTTTTCCCAGGTAATAAACAATGTTGAAAATAAAAAATGGCCCCCTGGCTTAGAAAATCATAGTATGCCTGCAACATTTAAAGAAAGATACCCCTACCAAAGTACCTGAATTAATAAATAAATTTATTTAAATATATGTAATAAAAAAAACAATTCATTCCTGGTGCAGGGGGTAAAAGATAGAAACTGGACCACTGCTTCTTTGCTAAACACGGGGCTAGGTGGAAAATGCCTTTAAAACTGGAATCTGCATCGCCCCATATGGGAAATAATTACCCCCGATGGCCCTCAGTATGTAGCACAGTCCCCCTTAGTTCAAATTAGTAGCACCTTAATTGGATTAGGAACCCTATGGAGAGGCTAGCCTCTCAGCCCACCTAACATGACCTGCACATACAAGCTACCTAATGTGTCACACGTAACAATAGAGCAATGTGTTTGTTGGAAAGGACCAGGTTGTTAGCTGCATGAAGATGGTACCACCTGGACTTTATGCAATTCGTGTTGCTTTAGAGCTAAAAGTGAAGCCGTTGCTCCACTGCAATTAAGTAACCGTACTATTGCCTTAAAACGGCCAGAAATTTCCTCTAAGACTATACCTCTCAATTTTGATACCCACTTCATGGGTATCAGATATAGACAAACGGCCAGAAATTTCCTCTAAGACTATACCTCTCAATTTTGATACCCACTTCATGGGTATCAGATATAGACATGCCACAGTTAAAAAAACTAAAATAAGGTAAAAAATAAGCTGCAAAGCCTTAAGGCAAAGGCTCGACAAGGCACTCAGTTGTCTCTCCTTGCTCAAGAGGGTGGGCAAATCATCAGTCTGGCTGTCAACGTGGCCGAGCCTTGTAAATGGGATGTAATTTACACTATTCGTGTGTCACCAAGTGCCACCTCAACTACGTAGCTAACCATCTTGAGTATCGTAGTATTCTGCATTGCCCTAGTGGCAACAGCTAAATAGTGTTTTAACCGTTGTTGTCGTAAATCTGTTCATGCTATGCAAATTACATTTATAAATCCCTCCCAATTTCTCTGATGTAGCGCATGTGGCTTTAGCATCTCAACTGTAACTATCATAGTGCTTCTGCAAGCAAAAGGTGGAGTGTAACAGCTGAAATTATGCCTGTGTAATAAAGGTGCTTGCTGAAGGCTCTATAAAGATCAGACTCAGTGGGGTTTTTTCGTATTTGTTTAAATATTAAGCTATATGTTGTTGCTAAAAGCCTAATTAAAGTCTAAAATGTAGTAAGGCCTTGTATAAAGTAAGGCCTAGTAAATTTAACAAAACCTTAAAGTAGTAAAGCCCTGTGGCATAGTTAAAATTACCTTATCAAAAAAATACAAGGCTTCTACTGCTATTGGTCAGTCTAAAAACAGTTAAAGTAAAAAGAATCTAAGTAGTTGTATGCTATCAAAACCATTCAAAGCTTTAAATTAGCTAAAATATCTGGAAACCATTCAGATGGAAAATATAGCTCTGTAAGAAGGATTAGTTAGCTGTTGCCTAAATCAGTGGACCCATGGACCTCGAGGAGCCTCAAGGACTGCATTCCAGGGTCCTTCCCGGTACCCTTCGGACAGCGCTGTTCAGGGACGCCTGCCTTCGTTGAACTTTGTGGAAAGAGAAGCTTGCTGTGTATCAGGCATCAGAGGGGACTGCCAATAAGTTGCCAACACGAATTGCTTTTGTCTGTCATTGTGTTTCATTACTGCGCGCAGTTGTGTTTTTGTTAAGTCAATAAATCTTTCTTACATTTCTACCCCCGACCATACGCTCAATCCCAAACCCTCCGCAGGCAGCTAGAACAACATGTATGTACATACACACATACACACACGTGCATACTTGTACACATACACATATACTTTCTTACATGGCTTTACACACACACATGCTTACGCATATACCTACACACATACAACTATATACACATGCACACACATACCTTTACACAGTTACACACACACCTCTACCTGTATACATACACACGCATACTTACACACAGACACATCTACACATGCACACACATGCACACCCACACAGTAACCAGCTCAGCCCAGGCTCCAGAGGTGAGCGATGCCTTTGCTGGGAAACCAGTGAGAGCCAGGCCTGAATTTACTGAGGACAGTCGGCTTCCAGCAGCCGCCACCTCAGCATGATCCGGGTGGGGAGGGGCTGGTATTTGGGCCACATCAGAGAGCCAGGGCCTCAAGGGGAAGGGGGGACAGCCGCCTTGGTACACGCAGCCTGTGCGAGCCTGCATTCGATCCCAGGGATTCATCTGTTCCTCTCCAGCCAGATCGTGCCCCCCCTGGGACCAGCCTCCAGCCTTGCCCGCCTGACCTCAGCATCCAGACACTAACAGAAGCCTGGCTGCTGTACGCGTGTGCGTGTGTGTATGTGCATGTGTGTGCACGTCTTCCACCAGCTGCAGTTGCCTGCTCGGAAGCGGTAACTATGGCGACGCAAGGAGGGTCCCCAGAAGAGATGTGCCTACAAAGGGATTTTCCTCACCTAGATCGCAGGGATCCCGGCGGAAGCTGGTGGGTTTCCAAGCACCAGGAGGGAAAGGTGGATCTCCACCTGCAGCCCAGGGGTGGGGTGCAGGCGGGAACAGGATGGGGGGGCACCCCTTGGAGTCGGCTTTTTGCAAGGGGGTTTCTGGCTGGGGAGTGCCCCAATCCTTCTGGCCTGGGGACATCCCCCATGCATGAGCAATGCAGCCTGGGGGGCACTGCGATGTTGGCTGGTAGGATCCATTGTGCACGGCTGCTGTGGGTCTCAGGAGAGCTGGGCTGGCTCTGGGTGTTGTCCCCAAAGCAGCGGGGGCTCAGACCCCTTGCAATCCCCAAGGCGATGAGGTGGAGCTAGGCCCAGGGGCCCTGCCCCCTTGCAGATGGCAGAAATCAGCCCCAGTCTCCCCCCCAGCCCCATCTCCATGAGGATCCCCGTGGAGGTGCTGTAGGTCTGGGACCCCCACTCCCCCTGCAGCCCTGGGAAGGCAAAGCCAACCTGCCACTGGTTTGAAGGTGGGGGGACAATGGGGGACAGAGCCAGCACCCCATCAGAAGTAAGGAGCATGTGCCCAATGGACATCCCTGCAGCCAGACACTCGAATCCCAGCTGAGGCGGGTGGACGGATGGGGAGATCGAGTAATGTGTGTGGGGATGGAGCAGGAGTGAGAGAGAGAGAGAGAGCAGTGTGAGGCAGATGGATGGACTGATAGAGTGTATGGGGTGGAGGGTTAGATAGACTGAGATGTGTACAGATAGACAGACAGACAAAGTGATGTGTATAGGGATGGATAGATAGATGGATAGAGTGAGATGGATGGATAGATACATGGAAAGAAGGCAGGCAAGCAGATAGATTGATAGATAGATAAGAGTGGTATGTATGGAGATGGATGGATGGACAGACAGTGATATGGATGGATGGATAGATAGAAAAGTGGTGTGTACAGGGATGGATGGATGGAGTGGTACAGGGGGATGGTAGACAGGCAGGCAGGCAAAGTGGTGTATATGGGGATGGATGGATGGGTAGGTAGGTAGGTAGATAGATAAAATGGGATGTGTGAATGGATAGATAGACAACATGGTGTGCTTGGGGATAGATAGATAGATAGATAGATAGGTGGGATAGGTGGACAGACAGACACGCAGCTAGATGAAGTGGTGTGTATTGCAATAGATAGATAGATCCATGAACAGCCAGCCAGATGAGTGAGATGCATGGACGGCAGGTGAGGGGACAGACAGATGGGTTCTATGTGCCCAGGGCTCCTAGAGGAGGATCACACCGTGTCCCCCTCTGCCGCCCTTCCTCTGACCCAGCCCGGCTCCATCCCCTGCCTCAGTGGCTCTGGCCCAGCACCGAACAATGTGGACCTTAGCCCTTCCTGTGGCCCCGTCTTGGCCGGCCGTGTGTGAAGCCATGGGGCTGAGCCGCCTGCCGGCGAGGATGCCCCCATGTCGGAGCTGATTCTGCACCCTGGAGAGGTAACACCAGCTCTGGGGACAGAAGTGATGGGTCTGGGGAGCTGTCATGGGGCATGGTGGAGCTAGGGATTTGCTTGCCCTTTCTTTTCCCTTGCACTTGTCTGTTCATCCGTGTGCTCTTTCCTTCCTTTCCTCCGCTCCTGCACATCTGTCAGTCTGTCCCCATCATTGCTCTTCCTTCTCTTCTCTCTCCCATCCCCCCTCTCCCCGCCTCTCAACCTCTGCCCCCCACCCTGGGGCTGGGGCCCTGCTCCCTCTCTCTGCTCCTCCACCTTGGTAGGGCTTTTGAAACCCGGGGACCAGCCCCCTGCCACCGGCACCACTCCCTGCGGGCCATGCTTGGCCCCATCTCTATATGCAGCTGTGCCAGGTTCAGCACTGCAAGCCTGGATGTAGTTGCAGCTGGGACACACGTGCATGCATGCACGCACATGCACACGCATGGAACCACGTCCTGGGTACAGCCCCTAGCACAAGCCAGCTCCATGGCAAGGCTCCTGAGTCCAACTGCAGCCCAGCCGGGAGAGGGGAGGCACCGGGGGTCTCCATATGGGGCAGACTTCCATGCCCAGGGGACAGACAGGCTGGCTTGGCGGTGAGGGGGGGGCAGGTAAGATGCCTTTGCCTGCTCACCCTCTAATACAGCCCTGCTGGCTAGGCAGGGCTGGCCACAGAGGACCCCAGGGGATGCCCTGGCTAAGCAGATACAGGGCTGGGGGGCAGGGGAGATCAGTCTTTCTGCTCTGGGTTTGTACAGCACCTGGCACACGGCCTTTTCAGGCCACAATCTGGGTCTCAGTGCTGCCCCCCAGTACTGCTCTGTGCCCAACTCCATCTAAGCCTCTCCCAAATCCTCAAGACCTAAATGCTTAGGACCCTATGGTCCCCTCGAAGCTTCCTCGCAGGGTCGCTGCCCCGGGACGAGAGCGTGACAAACCAGAAACCAGTCACCTATGGGAGCGTGGGAGCCCATCCATGCATCATCCTTGGGTCAGGACTCCTGGGGTCCATCTGTGGTGTGGGGCGGTGGGGGCCACACAGAACTTCTAGGTCCTGTTTCTGCCTCTGTGAGGACATGTGGCCTAGTGGCTAAAG